CTATTACAAGAATGTGTCAAATCCATGGATGTGACAAAGCAAACGAAACATAAAACTGAGAAGTGTTCAAAGACGCGTGTGGAGCTGTTCGTTTGGCTTTCAGATGCCCCCCACGCCCCCAGCCTCTAAGAGCCAACAGCAATGTTGGGCATTCAGGGTGAATTCGTGAGAAATAATGATCTACTATTCTACCATAAATACTCTTGGTTGCAGAACAACTTTATCGCGGTTTCTGGGCACAGCAGTAAACCCTGCCACTCGCGCTCTGTTCAGAAGCGTGAGCGGTGCGTGGTGACGTCTGAACCGTACACGCTGTACCTTCCCATGGTTTTTGTTTTTCAATAAAATACAGGCGGTCTCTGGTTTACGACGGTTTATCTAAATTCGACCATGGACCGATTCACGACGCAGAAACTTGATTTGCGAGGCATCTTTTCCGACACGACCCTGAACGCATTTGAAGAGTCGGTCTTGTTTCCGACGCCACTTGGCGTGGAGCTTTTGTTATCCTCATGTGTTAAATATGGCCGATAAAAGTTAAAACCACAAGTGGTGTTTCTACTGTTTTTAGAGTCTATGGGAAAATAGGGTCAGGATTTACGATGGGGTTTCCAAGAACGCATTGTGGTGGTGGCGTCGTAAAAGCATGGACCGCCTGGACTTATTTCTCTGCCCCAGAGGAATGATAGTCTGAGTAAACTCCCATCCAGGAATTCAACTTGCCGCCACTGCAAAGTCAATACCATCTGCTGCCTACTGTCCACTCCTGGTCCCCATGTGTTCGTGTCCTTGGGTGTTCGGGTGTCCGTGTATTCGTGTATCCATGTATCCATGTCCCTCAGTGTTCATGTGTCAAGTGTTACCTTATGTTCATGAACCTCCTGTGTGTTGGTGTATCCACCTCTCTGTGTATTCATTAAAATATGTCCACGTGTGCTTGTTTGTGTATTCGTGTGCAAGTGGAGAGGTTGGGGCAGGACACGTCACGAGAAGAGTTGACAGCCGGTGGTCGAGACGAACAACGGAGTGGCGGCCAAAGGAGGTAACGCGCCCGAGAGGACGATCGCCACGTGAGATGGAGCGATTAAATCAGCTCATGCGGAGAAGCCACATGTGTCAGTTGCATCGCGTGACCATGAGAGATAGCGACAGCTTTGGGTGGAGGGGGGGGCCTTGCTCCAGCAGTAGGTAGACCGTGGATGATGATTACGATAGACTGTATATTAGGTCTGACGCGATTCCCTGATTAACATTATTCATACATATAAGCATTGATTATTCGTGATGTACACACATTTTATGAGATGATAAATGACGAAAGAATACAAATTAGTTGCTAAAAACGAGACAAAGATTCTGGAATGGTTAATGGCGCCATTAGGGTAATATAATAATTGAAACAAGTCCAGACAGACAATATAAATAAGTAGAGTCTGGATAATTAGTCAATCAAGTTGATTAATCAACAAAAAATTATAATCGACTAGTATTTTTCTGATTGTTTACTTCGGCCCCTTAAAAAATGGCAGCCGCTCATCCACATCCTGCTTCCCGAAGGCAGGAAGCCCCGCACAAGCCACGCCCAGGGTAACATGGCTGATGATGCCAATGACGTCATCAAGCCACAACCAACACCTCCCGTCCAGCGGCACACATGTGAACAGAGGTGGGACTTTTATCCGCAGCTACAGTGTATTTCTGTGTTATCCGATTTAGTCGAGCAATTAAACCGACAATTGACAGAAGGGTCATGCCACACCAACTCAGAAAAGAGGCATTTCGTTCTTTTGGCATCTACATTGAGGTCCAGGGTGAGTTTTCTAGTCAAGGTCATATTTTTATTTTATGTTGACCCTTGTCAGGTCATAGCTTGAATAAAATATTTAAAAAATGACGACCATTTTTTCAACTCGGCGAACTCAAAACTCCCCAGGTGATTTTTTTCTGGCAAAATTTTAGACGGTTAAGCAACAGCTCTGGTTGACTTGGCATGGAATGACCCAAGTGCGACGGAAAATACAAGACAGAGCGTGACGGAAACAATAAACGCGAGAAGAGTATCGATTCGCAGAAGAGTATCGATTCTTGAGTTGAACTGTGACATATGCATTGAATCTCCGGGGAGAGTGAATCACAGCGTGCCCGCTTCATATAAACACAACACGTCAACGATACGACGTTGATTTCCACGATATGGCAGTTATCGCGATATCAGCTACCCATAACGTGAGCAAACGAATCACGAAATCGATAATTTGCAAAATAGGATGCTACGTTTGTTGTGAGCCTGGTATCGTAGAATAATAAATATATTAGTTTACACCGGGGCTCGACGCGCGATGAGCGACTTGCATCATATCTCATCTCAAACATTTTAAAGAGCACCCCTCAGTTGCAGCCGACCCTGTGTGACACAAAAGGTGACTCAGCACGTGGCCTGCAAGCAGACATTATGCTGCCAGTAGGGGTTGATGAAGTGCTATGTAGAAATACCAAGTGAGTAATGTGCAGTGTAATGTTATCGAATTTGGCAACTTTTCAAAATGACGCATGAAACACAATTGACCTCTATTTCGATTTAAAGCTTTCGTGACTGCAGGGATTCATCCTCTTGGTTCTTTCGGTAAAGTCACGTAGAGTCACGTATTCTACGTGACTTTACCGAAAAAAACAAGAAGACAATTGACCTCGTTACGAAATGATATCTAGGGATCTGTTACGTCGACTACGAAACATATGACGCATAGTAGCAGTATTTTTGGTCAATACACACCGCAGCAATGATCAGGGCGGTTTGCCGAATTTGAACCGCGAACCCCTGCAACAAGTGGCAAACGCGCTCTTGCTGGGCCAAGTCATCGCCCCCAGTCGCCATGTCGTATCGAGCCGAATATAAACACAGCCGTCAGTAGCGTTGCAAGTATGCAGAAGAAATGAGAATCACACTCTCTCAGCGTTCGTCTCACAGGTCGACTGTGGTCAAACTCTGCCCCCACTACTCCATCACCCCCTCTAAACCAGCACACCTATCTCCCCATACTTTGACCGTCAGCTGACTGCACACTCATTTCACGAGGAACACTCCCAGGTAAACACATGATCGATGGTAATCAAAACAGGTGGTGCAGAGTTCAAAGCAATGGCCCTGAGCCAAAGGGAGATGAACAACTACACCCAGCTCAGCAATCTCAACCTAGCATATCAACGTTGCTGGTTCATCAACCCACAAAGGTAATCTGTTCCTTCAGGCACACCTAGCCGCAGGGATTGAACGCAGAACTTCAAAAGCTTCTGGCTCAAATCACTGATATGGGTATCAACCTCCCTGAGAGACATACAGACCAGGACTTTACCCTAGGTCAGAGAGTTGCCGGTTCAGTGTCCTGACAAAGCCATCTGTTCTTTCAGGCCAACCCAGCCATAATCACAATGCCAGTCCACCACAGCCAGCATTGTGCCATTACAGTATGGGTGGTTTTCCGGTGGCTATTTGCCTTCTTGAACTAAACCGCTTAAACCTGGCCTCACAAGACATCTGAATTTTTTGTAATGGTTTACAACTAAGGGAAGGGGATTTAACTCTTGTAAAGACAATTCAATATGATCGGAATTTTAAGTTTAATGTTTTGTCGCTATTGGGGACATACCCCGATTGAAAACCGGGAAGCATTTAGCACAGGCTTGACTAAAGTTCAACAATAAATTAAACAAAGTTTTTTCCCATGGCGATGACGTCACATGCCATGTGCATGCGTCTGATGATATCATCACATGTGATGCCATGTCAGGTGCAACGCGATGTCATCATCTAATCCTGCTCCAACGCTTACGTCATTCATCATTATCATCATCAGTCATGATCAATCCACTGCTGGATGAAGTCCTCCCCAAGCCACTGCCATCTCTCATCCTCCTGCGATGCAACAATCCACCCAACACCTGCGCAAGAGCAGATTTCATCGCTCCATCTCCCCGGTGGACGAGGCTCTCGGGACGCGTTCCATTCCTTGGCCGCCACTCAATATTCTTGACCATCGTACGTCAACCCTCTGCGTTTGAACTACATCAAAGGGTTGCTGAAAACTTGAAAGACACACAAACTACAGCCAGTGGTGCGGTTTGCACATAGGCAAACGTGCGCTTTGCTGACAGCTCGCTGTTGCTGGCTGCTAATTAAATACGTCCAAGGGCAAACGCATACGGAAAGTGTTACGTCACCCCCGTTGGGTTGAATTCAGCATTTCCATTGGCTGCAGGGGGCGATGTGAAGCGAGTAAGTAAATGCAACATACACAAGATAAAAATAATCGATGCGTGCATCGCACGATTCAATTCGCGTGTATCGTGAACATGCAGATCGATTTTAATCGCTGGATCCACGCATCGTTACTTGGCCCAATTCTAGCCAGCTGCTCGCAATCGGAAGATTGCGCATGCAAATGGTTGCAGGTTGACTCAGCCGATCGCCCCTCCACGGTTAACAAAATGAGTACTAATTTTTAGGGAAGTCAACGACGATTTGTCCTGTGGGTCAAACTTCCCCCGCCATAGGAATGTAGAATCTCCACCGCTGGCTCAGGCCTGTGAAGGGGGGAGATGAGTGCTGCCTTACCGCTAATTTTGAGCAGGAAATCACATTGGCTCCCCCACGTCCGTGATACGTGCACAGAATCATGTGTGCGGTATGCACATTCTAAGCAAACGACGAGCAATTGGTTCATCAATGCAATCGAAGGCCCAGAATCGTGACGATTTATCAAATGGCGAGGAAGAGTGGGGGTGATTCGGTGGGCAGTTGCTCCGAGCCGCACAGCGGAGACCGACAGAGAGAACCCTCGTCAACAAACAAAACCACGGGACGAGGGACCATCGCTTGCCGACTCGAATCGTGACCGATCCCTGGAATCGCCAGGGAAGGCGGAGAATCACCGCAAGGCTATTCCGCACCGTGCAGCGGACAGAGAGATAGAAAGAGGGGGGGAGCGGGAGTCCTCACGTACCATCTCATCTTCCTTCCCCTCGTTCACCACCGTCTCGTCCTTTTCCGAACTTCCCATCTTCGTTCAGCTGCAGGTGAGGTGTGGTGGTGGGGGGGAAACACGCAGACAAAAAAACACGCATGGGCGGGCAAGCGTTAGGACGCAGAAACTCGTGAACGAAACACACGCGCGCGTGCAAACGCCGCAAACGCGGAGCAAAAGGAGGTTCGCGGGGGTTTGCAAAGCCTGTGTCAGTCCAGGCACTAATCCAATGTAAATGAAGTCCTTGATATCCAGCCCGAGAGGCAATGGCCTCTGCCTCCGTCGGTTCACTGTGGCCAGTCGGGGCAATCAACAAGCGTCACAGGTTCAAATCCTGGGGATACGCGTTTCTCATCTCACAGAGGGCTCATAATGGCTGTGACAGAGGCGCTGAGCCAACCACAACAAGGTCCTATGTTCAAGTCATAAGCGTGGGCGTTGATCTGTTTCTCAGGAAGCTCATAGTGGGCCTGGCGCCCATGATTAAACCGGATTCTCAAGTGTAGCTCGTTGATGGTCTCAGCCCGTGTCTTCACCTCATTCTATAGATCAGCTTTGAGAACAAACGATGACGGCTGCTATGCCACCTATTATTGTCGTGCGATGAACCATGTTTGAGGAAACACATGTTTTCAACCGTCGAAAGTTAAATATTACCCATGACCAAATCGCTGGGGATGCACCCAATACCATCATATCTCAGATTCTAAGCAGGATTTTGAGCCAGGATAGTGTTTGGGTGGGAAGCAACCACCACTCAAAAAACAAGTGCTATAAGCTGCGGCGGGGCCTACGTTGTGGGTTGCAGAGGCAAGTGCAGCAATATCCATCGCTGTTCTGTAATGCTATGCTGCCTGCATGCATCACCAAACCTACCTCTGACCGGCGTGGCAAGGCACGGTCAAGTAATTCTCACGACCTCACGGGGCTTGGAGAGGCTGTGATGAAGCAGTGAATTGACCATGGCCAAGAGTCGGCTCCGGAGCCACGTGACCTTTTAAAGTCTGACCCCCTCTCGATCAGAAAGATTTCTGGCTCCCAGGTGTCTTTTATACAAGTAACGAGCTGAGATTAGGAGCACACTCTTAAAGGGAGTGCTCCTAATCTCAGCTTGTTACCTGTCCACAGAGGCAAGCAATCAATCAGATTCCAAACTCTCCACCATGGCCAAGGCCAAAGAGCTCTCCAAAGATGTCAGGGACAAAATTGTAGACCTACACAAGGCTGGAATGGGCTACAAGACCATTGCCAAGCAGCTTGGTAAGAAGGTGACAACAGTGTGTGTGATTATTCGCAAATGGAAGAAACACAAAAGAACTGTCAATCTCCCTCGGCCTGGGGCTCCTTGCAAGATCTCACCTCGAGTTGCAATGATCATGAGAACGGTGAGGAATCGGCCCAGAACTACACGGGAGGATCTTATCAATGATCTCAAGGCAGCTGGGACCATAGTCACCAAGAAAACAATTGGTAACACACTACGCCGTGAAGGACTGAAATCCTGCAGCGCCCGCAAGGTCCCCCTGCTCAAGAAAGCACATATACATGCCCGTCTGAAGTTTGCCAATGAACATCTGAATGATTCAGAGGACAACTGGGTGAAAGTGTTGTGGTCAGATGAGACCAAAATGGAGCTCTTTGGCATCAACTCAACTCGCCATGTTTGGAGGAGGAATGCTGCCTATGACCCCAAGAACACCATCCCCACCGTCAAACATGGAGGTGGAAACATGCTTTGGGGGTGTTTTTCTGCTAAGGGGACAGGACAACTTCACCGCATGAAAGGGACAATGGACGGGGCCATGTACCGTCAAATCTTGGGTGAGAACCTCCTTCCCTCAGCCATGGCATTGAAAATGGGCGGTGGATGGGTATTCCAGCATTACAATGACCCAAAACACACGGCCAAGGCAACAAAGGAGTGGCTCAAGAAGAAGCACATTAAGGTCCTGGAGTGGCCTAGCCAGTCTCCAGACCTTAATCCCATAGAAAATATGTGGAGGGAGCTGAAGGTTCGACTTGCCAAACGTCAGCCTCGAAACCTTAATGACTTGGAGAAGATCTGCAAAGAGGAGTGGGACAAAATCCCTCCTGAGATGTATGCAATCCTGGTGGCCAACTACAAGAAACGTCTGACCTCTGTGATTGCCAACAAGGGTTTTGCCACAAAGTACTAAGTCATGTTTTGCAGAGAGGTCAAATACTTATTTCCCTCATTAAAATGCAAATCAATTTATAAAATTTTTGACATGCGTTTTTCTGGATTTGTTGTTGTTACTCTGTCTCTCACTGTTCAAATAAACCTACCATTAAAATTATAGACTGATCATTTCTTTGTCAGTGGGCAAACGTATAAAATCAGCAGGGGATCAAATACTTTTTTCCCTCACTGTATGTTGAACTAATTTCACACCGTACGAAGCCAACCGTGTTAATCGGAGGTGTGGGGGAAGGACAACAAACTCAACACAAAAAGCAGTTCTAAAGTACCCTTTAGAACTCGTATTCAAATGCATTGCGGATTATTTAATTTATTTTCTTTCTACGTGACTTTACCGAAAGAACCAAAGAGTAATTCCTGCAGTCACGAAAGCTTCGAATCTAGTTTGAACCACCTCTACGGGGAGGATTTCCTCACAACTCACACTTAACTTCTAATTTAGCAATCTTTGGGAGAACGTAATCAACCAGGCTATGCGTTAACTGTGTGTTAACCGACTCTCTGTGTTGCATTGCATTACACTTCCTAATTTTACTAAATTTGTCTTCTCAAACTTCCTATTTCTCTCTCTAAATGTTGCCGTGCTTGTTAGTTTATAAGTCCATTGTCTCTTATAAGTCCATTGTCTCTAATAAGTCCATTGTCTCTCCTCCGGCCTCTATGGGCAGGAATTCCACACAACTCTCTCATTGTTCTCTACCCCAATCCCCCCCTCTCCCTCTGCCCCCCCCCTCTCTATTTAAGGCCTCGACACAGAGGCGTTGTCTTTCTGTTTGTCTATGTGTGTGTCTCTCTCTGTGTGTCTTTGTGTGTCTCTCTCTGCTTATGTGTCTGTCTATGTGTCTCCGTCTCTGTGTTTTGTCTCTCTCTCAAATTTAGCAATCTTTGTAAGAACGTAATCAACCAGGTAGGGTGTTGACTGTTGCGTTAGCCGACTCTCTGTGTTGAATTGCATTGCATTTCTAAGTTTACCAGGTTTGTTTTCTGATTCATTCCTACCTGATGATGGTTGCTTGTGTTGCAATCGAAACGTCGTAGTCTATTATTATTTACTTTATTTCCTTTCTACGTGACTTTACCGATAGAACCAAAGGGTGCATTGCGGATCTTGAAATATCTTTTTTTACCGGATTAACAAAAAAATGCCTCTTCTTTTTATTTTGCTTACCGAACCCTGACCACGGCTGAATGACAGTGATGGCTTGGGCAGGCCCCTGTCCAGATGTGGATTGACAAGACGGGGCTGTACGCGCACACGCGCGTTCCACAAGTCCTGCACATGCTGCCCGGTTGTTCCCACGACTTCCTCAAAAAATACGCAAAGAGCTCTCCTTAAAAAGGTCAAGTGGTCGAATGTCGCAATGCAGGTTCTTCGTGGAAGAGTCGAGAGGGGCCTCGGCGCGGCTCCCAACGGCGCTGCACATGTATGCCCGTGTGGGATGAGAGAAACGGCTCTGGCATGACCGCGGGAGCGGCTGTCACCCTCCAGAGCCCTTCCACAAAGAGCAGCGTGAAGTCGTGCCGCACGCTGCGAGTTTCACAAGGAAGTTCTCTCAGTTTTAGGACAAAATTGTTTCTTATTATTGTTATTATAATAGGCTTGTTTACCCTACGAAAGACCTACTCAGTGACAAAACTCTTTTTTTCAGCAGGGTGCTGCCCAGTTTCCTGCAACAAGGGGTGATGCTGCTATGTGTAATCCCAACTGAGTAATTTGCGGGTCGTTTTTCAGTTTCGGGAAATTTGTTGTCCATTACCAGTTAAGTTGTATGGGGTTTTTTTGTTTAGTAGCTATGAGAGGAAACCAGAGAATCTGGGAGGGAACGGATGTAGAACAGTGTGGGAGGGAGGGGCATACAAACTCCACACAGAAAGGCTCCCGAATCTGGAATCAAACCCGGGCCCTTCTTGCTGTAAGGCACAAGCTTTACGACTGCATCACCCTGCCTCTTAGTCCAAAACGAATTAAACATTTTTTTTTTTAAAACTACTACAATCCACCGCTGCACGAATGCCTCCCTCCGCCATACCAGCCATGGGGGTTGTTCGTTCGTGTTTGATAATACTTCACCACGCCGGCCGACGCAGGTCGGTGAAGAGGAAGGGCAGAGAGAAGTACCAGTTTTTACATAACTCGCCAAACTTATATTAGCCGTGGCCAGAAATCTAATTCAGGTTGCAGGTTTCGCAGTGCAGCGCCTTGACCACTGCGCCACCGTTGCCACCTCCATAATTTATAGTAGGTGGCTGTAAGTGGGGTTTTGCCCGTCACAGTCCACCTTTCCACGTTCGCCAGTCTCCTCCATTCAAATGCAAATTAGGTTGCTATGCACTGCCTGGGCCTGACAATTGGTTAAAACATCACGCTCAATATAAAGAGCTCACATCAAGTGCGGGAGACCTTGTTGAGGCGGTGAGTCGGCCCAAGCGGTTGATCGTTCGCCGATTGTTGCATGGGGTTGAGATTCTAAACCGAGGCAGCCCTGATTATTACTGCGGTGTGTAATAACTATAAAATACTACGTGCGGTCTACTTCGCAGTGGACGTTAAGGCTCCCATCCATGACGTCGTTCACGAAAGGCTATTGTGTGCCGGTGTCATACTTCAACATTTGACAAACTAGAATTTTGGCAGCTTATGGCCGCCTCATTCCAGCTCCTACGGAGGGCTTCTTGGCACTTCGCGCCTTGCCCATCGCCCCCACTGATGTCTTCTTCCCCGCCCCCCCCCCCCCAAATATGTGCAGATATTACCGACTCTATTATATGTAGGGTGTGACTTTTTTTGGGGGGGGAGGGGTCGACAATTTTTGTAAACCTGTTGG